CTGTATTAATAACTCCACCTTGCTTTCTGTGTCTACCTATAAATATCTCGGTGTTCATATAACCAACGATCTCTCCTGGAACATCCATGTCGACTATATCACTAACAACGCTAATCGCTTATTAGGCTATCTCAGAAGAAACTTTTCCCTTGCCCCTGTTTCACTTAAACTTCTCCTATATAAAACTTTAGTGCGCACCAAACTTGAGTATGCAGGCTCTATCTGGAACCCTGGCGTATCCCTAGCATCATCCATTGAATCCATTCAAAATCGCTCCGCACGTTTTATACTTTCTAACTATCACCGTACAGCCAGCGTCACCTCCATGAAAGCGTCTCTACATTTGCCCAATCTCTCCTTTCGTAGAAAAATAGCTCGCCTCTGCTTATTTCACAAAATTTATCACTCTAACCCAGCACTTCGAGCCTCATTAATTTCAGAACCATCATACATATCGCCGCGCACCGATCATCCACTAAAAGTAGGAATCCCCTACTGCATCACTTCCACCTTTTATGCCTCCTTCCTACCTCTGACCTCCGTCGACTGGAACCGCCTTCCCGCATCCGTAGTCTCACTTACTGACGCTGCTGATTTTAAAACCGCCATAACTGATGTTCTTAACAATGTTCCATAGCGATTCTGTACCTTGTGTTTTGTTTGTTTTTTGCGTTTTGTTTTTATTGTTCACCTTATATTGATGTATATATTTCCACTCCTCTCTGTAATGCCTTCGGGCCCTGAGAGTATAATAAATGAAATGAAATGAAATATATATTCCAAGGACCAATATCTTTAAATTTCCACCCTTGCTGCATGATATTAACTATTGGAACAAACTACCCGATTAAATAGTAACGATATGTGATATTTTAAAATTTCGGGAAGCGCTTGCCACCTTTTAAGCCTTATAGCCGAATTTTTTTATTGTAATTTTTTTTTTTTTTAATTTGGCCAGTGTGATCTACATATACAAAGGACTGGCATGTGCCCACGTGGGAAAGCCCCACGTGGGTATTAAAGGAATTATTAAATGAAGTGAAATGAAATACCTTGAGTGAAAAGACCGACGGGTTTTTCGGCGGAGCAGTAAGTGAGCTCAACTAAACGCGTCGCTAGCCCCATTATATTTTCAACTTTGTTATCTTTTAAATTTTGCAAATTATACTTCTCCAAGTTACCAATTATATTGTCCCCCCTCCTCAAAGAAAAAGAGGAAAAATCGTAGTTGATGTATATATATATATATATATATATATATATATATATATATATATATATATATATATATTGTGGTGGCTGCCGCCACACTGACCGCGCCGGCAGAGGGCAAGGCGCCCGACGGCAGCGCCACGCGCCGGCAGGGCGCAGCTGGGGGGGGGGGGGGGGGGAGGCACAGGGGCATTCGGGATCGAGACGGGCATTAAAGAAGACGTGAGAAATCCTTCCTTGTTGTTACGTGTTCTTCCGGGGTGGACCGCACGGACGAGAACCCGGGGCTTCCAGGCTGTGGGCAGGGAAACCTACAATATACATATATATATATATATATATTGTTAGGAAGGTGAAGACGACGACGGGGCAGTGGCGCGCACGACCATCTCGCGCCAGACCTCACGTGCCGGCTCGGCCTCCATAAATCCTTTGTCTGTTCTATCATCGTGTACTGTCCTGCCCTTTCTGCTGCCGACAGCATCACCCTAACAATATATATATATATATATATATGTATATATATAAGTCATGCGTACGGTCGGAGTTACTAATTCGAAGTTTTATAAACTTCGAATTAGTAACTCCGACAGTACGCATCTTTGACTTATTAACTTTTCCCGGTCCATTGTTTTTATATTTACCTTACTTCATATATATAAATATATATATACATATATATATTATATAATATATATTATATATTATATATACTGCACTTAAATGTATATATAATACTAATTTCTTGCAATTCATTACATATTTTTATTGGAAGATAGAAATATCTAAAAATATAAAGACTTATTGAAAGCACCTGGCTCACTTCCACAACTTGAGTCAAAGCTAATTAGTTCTACTGATATCTATGCAGCATAATGGCTGGATGCCTTGGAATCTGGTCACTTTTATTCTGGTTGCAACGGTAATTTGTCCAGTGCAAAAAACTTCTTATGTGCTGCCGCTCTTTTTGCATATGCATGTACCAGTAATTTTTCATTATCGCTTACAGAAACAGAGTCGGAGGTCTGCAGGTACCTGGCCAAAATTAAACGAGTGTCTGTTCCGGTAATTTTTACCGAGGATGGCAAAATAGTAAGTATAATTCATAATTTGTCCCTGAATATGTGGAGTGTCTTTTTATTTTACAGGACGTTGAAAAGGTCTAGCCCACACAATTTTATTAAATAAAGTAGGATTTTTAAAATCTAAAGAGTCAAATTTTGGACGACAAATACAGACGACCACTCTCTTGTATATAGCAAAAACATTCTTGTTATTTTACTCTTTCGATTGTAAACATTCAACTTACAGTGGGCTTAAGCTAAGCAAAAGTTAAATTTTTTTGTAAGGCCTAAGAGCCAAGCTTTGTGGATAATATGGCATGAATAAGAAATACCGGACTTGTCAAATTGGGGCTATACTAGTGAACATTGCTCACTTGTTTTTTACTAGCTCAGACTGTATGAGCATTGCTCTGTTCAGCACTGAGAAAACAGATTTACTAAAGCTGAGCAAAACATCCTTTGCTGCCGCGTACAATTTCATATTCTTATTTTTTCTTTAGGGTTCTGTCTGCGCTCACGGATTGTTGACATTGTCGTCTGTTTTCTTGTAATCTTTGCAAAACATTCAGATATATATATATATTTTTTTTATTAAAGAAAGAAGTGGAGCGACCCAGGTCCCACGAAAATGAAACGTCAGGGCCTGCAAAGAAGCAGAGGCCTGCTAATGGTGCAGCTCCGACTGCCAAAGAAATGAAGCGGAAAAAAAAAAAATAGCCCAGGACCGTCGAATGGGGGAGTTCTTGCCACCGAAAAGTTGCAGCCGTGCTCCTCGGCATAGCCACTCAGACACGGACTCAAGTGGTGACGACGAGCTGTGTCTAAAGAGTGAACTCCGGCGAGCCAAAAGAACAATCAGGCGTTTGGAAGAGAAGCTCGAGCGGTCGGAGCACACAAACCGTCGCCTGACAAATGCCTTACTGCTGAAGATTGGTGAGATTCCCGGTATTAGAATAATGTTGTTCACAGTCTTCTTATTTCTCCTCGTTTTGTATTTTTGTTGTACAGAGGCAACAGCTAACAGCACAAAGCTGCCTTCGTCACCTGCAAGGGCCACAAGGAAGCTGCCCACTACTATGCCTGCAGCATCCACTTCAAAAGCGTCTGAAGTGCCCCCTCTCGTGGCCCCGCCTGTTCAAGGTAGATTTATATTGTGAATATTTTATATAGCTTTCTGGGAAAAAACATTGGAGCATAAAGATCTCTAAGTGCTTTTCTGCTACACTGCTTTTGCACATAGCCCTTAAAAGTTTTGGTTAACGCAGCAAGGGTGGCAAAGGTGCGAGCGATAGCATTTCCAAGCCTGATAGCATTTTCAAGCAGACAATAGTAGCCACAAAGTCTTTTTATCAAACACTGATGTGTGCCAAAGTACTACTGTATAACTGAGCGATAGCATTTTCAAGCCTGAAAGCATTTTCAAGCAGACAATAGTAGCCACAAAGTCATTTTATCGAACACACTGATGTGTGCTAAAGTACTACTGTATAACCTCCCAAAGAAAGCTGTGTAGTGAATTCTCTTAATCTGAAAACATTGCTGACAGAGCAAGCGTTTGAATTTTCGGAGTGGTCGGTGGTGGTTAGACGTGGCTCCTCCTTGTCAGCTCTGCTTGCATGATTCACGTCTGCGAGTCTCTTGAGATTGGTTCACCCTATAAAGCTCACGCTTGAAAACTATGACAGTCTCCTAGCAGTGGGTAACTGACACCACCATTTTGTTTCCAGTTTGCTAAGGCTGCTTCTGCTGCTTCAACTATTTCGGTTTCTAGAGCAAAGATGATTGGAAGTCAGCAGCAGATCACCTAACTTTCCAGAAAATATAAGGTCGCATGTGCAGGTTTCTTAGCAATATTGGTGTGCAATGGAAGCTTGGTTTGATGTAAAGAGGTGAAAAGTGTACGGTAAAAGCAGGGGCCCAAAACAGAGCCTTGCGATGTGCAGCAACGCAAAGAAAACCTCACCCCGTGAACGGAGTGCAGTAGTACGCCCTAAACTTGAGACCAAGGTTGCGGACTTTGGTCAGCGAACTCTAGCTGCGTAGAGTTGGAGTAATGCTTAAGTACAAATTTCTTTGCTTATTTTTTTTCACATTTGAAACATGCTCCGGTGCAGGGTTTCAGGTGCATGTTTGGCAGCAAACGATCAGACATCTGTGGGCTATAAAATATAGCTTCACTTGACTTATTTTACCACCCTTTTATGTCAATCATTTAGATCAGGGGTTCTTCAACTGGGTTTCGGGGAATACAGGGGTTCCACGAGCTGGTCTCATGGGTTCCGCGAACACCCAAATTGCAACCCCCCCCCCCTCTCCCCCCCCCCCCCCCCCCCCCACCGCAGGCTGCGCGGCAGGATCGTGCAAAGCGCCTTCACCTCACTTTGCACTGACATCGCGATTGATATGGTGGGGATATATGGGAAGCAACAGAAGCAAAATTGCCTACAATTGTGCATCTGTTGCTTCTCGTTCGGCAAATATAGAGGGGGGGGGGGGGGGGGGTTCCGCGGCAGTTTTTGAGACTTCCTGGGGTTCCGTGAGACCAAAAAGTTTGAGAACCCCTGATCTAGATAATTCTAACAGATTTCTGGTTCCCAGTGCGGTCAAATTAAGAGAAGTTTACTTTAACAGTACTCCCCCAGGCAACTTCCACGTGATGAATGACCAGCTCTATGGCACTATATATATATTTTACTATCAGAGGCACCAGACCCAGCATCACAGATGGCACCACCGCTGGCCTGCTCGGGCAACACCTCTTGTGGCACGGGGAGAGGTGATGACGTGCCAGAGGATGTAGCCGTCGGTCCTGTGGCTGGTACGTCCAAACAAGAATGCACTGCATGTCTGCACAACTATAGACGCTTTACAGCGGTTGTGCGTGGGCGCCGCCATAACCGACCTTCAGTTTTTGTTTCCTCTTATTCCGTTCACTTCACTTGGTCATTACCACAACAGACCAGGTATTTGCCATCTTAGATTCTATAATGTCCTCCCCAGCATTGACCTTTGTGGAAACTCGTCAACACCCGCCTCAGTGGCTCGACATCTCAGTAAGACAAGAGAAGGTCAGCAATGGCGGCTGTAATCTGGCACGTGTGTAAAGCGTCTATAACAAGATGATGAATATACAGCTAGCTGAACCTCGTTGGTATGTTCCCAGTTGATAAGTTTTCCCCGCTGTTGCTTCCACGAATGGCAGTCCCATTAATCTTCCATAGGGGTATATGTATTAATTTCCTAGCAATGCATGTTCACATGAAGAAAAATTGGTAATTGCTTTCTGTCTCAAATAACTGACCCCCTCTGCCAAAGAGCATTATTCACTGTTACATTTTCTCGTATCACGCCTTCATTTACGAGGTTCCCTAAAAAACATATCAAGGATGTTGTACTGTAGTGTGAACTGAACTTTTATGCATGCTAAAGTTGGAACAGAATAATACTACTTAAAAGCATAGTCCCCTGCATTTTATCAACTTTTGAATTGGATCAAAAGGTCATTTATTCTCTCAATTTAAATTGTTACTTGTTCAGTATTTTACAACTTATCATGAACCTTGCTTTTGTGATCACAAGAGGAATGTGTTCGATACAATAAAAAAACGCTTTAGTGATAGCTTACATTTGAATGCAGTTCTAACCTCTACAACCATGGTTGCAGTTGCTACAGTAAACTTTCGTTCATTTTATGCACATTCTCCAGCTTATTATTCACCGGGGCAAATTTCCTTGCACAAACCTCAATTCCAGGAAAGCACTAGGGAGACGGTTCTTTTGTATGTTCATTGTGACAATGTAATTTTTTAATGTAATCCTTAAATTTTGCTCCGAAAGTATTGGAGACTTTAAAAAGGGTAAATTAACCCACAATACTGTTTAGCCTTTAACTTATAGATAGCACTGCTTCCTCAAGCTGCATATGAAGCTTGAGGAGTGCGACATGATGGGATGGGAGAGAATTGGTGACCGAGCGGGCTAAAGCGCACACCCAGGATCCTGGGTTCAATCCCTGCTTGTTTTAATCTGGATGAGCATCGTTCTGTCGTGCGGTCAAGTATACCACTACTGTTTGGGGCACATTAAAGATCCCAGGCTAGTGACAATGAACCAGTGTCGCCTCATCCTGGCAGACCGAGCTTACGCTGCATAAACATGAACATCCAATTTGTCTTTTGATGGGATGGGGTCGCCATATCTTCTGCGAAATTATAAAACTGCAAAGTTTATTTACACAAAGAAGCGGAAATTAAAGCTGTTTAGCCTTCCTGTCTGTGATAACCTGCAGATTGGAAGCCAAACAGTGAGCAAAGTTTATTCAATAGAACACACATCTATTTAGTAGCTGTTGTCAAGTCTCTGCAGACCATGTGGCATGACATTGCAGTCTCGAGATTATGACATCATACTATCATTGTCTTAAAATTAAGGTAGGAGACACCTCTAGTGGGTGTAATCACGTTTCTGTCACCTTCTCTAGGTAATTTTCATTTATTATTACCTGAAAAACTGCAAAGACATACAGTTTTCATATTTCCGGATTTTTTACAACATTTCTGGCAATCTTAGGGCAAAATCTAAGGGTTGCATGAACTCTACAGTAGAACCTCGATAATTCCACGCCTGTTAATTAGGTTAATTCAGACTGCCAACACGGTCCCGGCAAACATACGCATTAACATATGGTGCCAAACGCTCACTAATTCGAAGGCAGACGGCATGCATCGGATAATTCAGACTAGCCTCAAAATCCATTGCAATTTCGCAGTGCATGAACGGTGCAAAATGTGCATTGCAGGAGCTGTGAGCGGTGCTGGGGGGTCTTCTTCAGCCGCTCACGAGAGATGCAACGAGCCACAGCTTCTTGTCAGGCCAAGCCAAGCAGAAGCTGCGAGCGGCCTTCTCTTCGGCACGACGGGTTGCAGTGAGCGGCGAGGTGAGAATGCAAGCCCTCTTTTCTATTGCCCGGAGGAACTCAAAGCTCCGGTAGGCACCAATGGCCACCGTCAGTGGGGAGAGCCTGGCTAGTAGGCGTTCTGACGCAGCTTGCACTGCCGGGTGTTGAAATGCAGATGGCGCCACACACTGCCGCACGGCCACACTGCAGAGCATGCACTGCGATGGTCATCCTCTACAGATGGGTAGTGGTAGCAGCGACAGTAGCTGGTAGCGGTGGAAGTGCTTCGGTTCTTCACGCCATTTTCGCCCTCATCCGTAGTGTCTGTGGTGTGCAGTTGAGCTCTTCTGCTATTTCCATTTTTTTTCTATGGCATGCTTGGTTTCGGGTCTGCTTTTGTCTGAGGTGAACTCTGTTTTGGGTATGATCTGTACACTGTTGTATGTCTCATCATGTCTGCCTTTGCGGCGATGCTGGCACCCAGAAAAAGGCCTGTGCGAGGAGCTGCCAAAGCATCGCACCGTCAAGAAGGTTGCGGAGGCTCTCGTACTAAGAGTTTTGCTTTAATGCGCCCGACAGTGCGCAGCGCAATGCAACACTTCGTTGAGTTAAAAAAAAAAAAAGTTGTCGTCGTTGCACATATTTTTTACGCAACGCAAGCGGCCATAACAGGGTTCTTCATGAATAGATAGACCATTTCTGCGTCTCTTTTTTGTCCATTAGATATTTCAACACTTTGGTAATTCTGACATTTTTGCCGGTCCTGTGAGACCCAAATTAACAATGTTTTAGTGTATCGCGTCATCTTAATCAACATGCGTGAGAATTGTCTTTCTAGTGCTTTCCTGGAACTCACATTTGTGTAGGTTGACGATTGACGAGTGGATGAAACCCCCTTATGCTGAGTTTATGGGTGTGATCAGAAAATGTCCAGTATGTTTCTTGATTCACAGTACAGTTGAATCTCGTTAATTTGAACAAGAGGGGAACCGAATATTTGTTCAAACTGACAGTAGTCTTTTTTAATGAGGTGCTAACATGTCACGTGTTGTGAATGAGTGCACGGCAACAGCTTTCAAGATTTGATATTATGTTGGGCGTTGCCGTACATCACGCATGCGCGATACTAAGAAAAAAGTTTGCAGACTGTAATAACTGCACGGCTAGTAAAGCATAACTTTCACCCAGGAGACGTGGAGAGAAAGCAAAGCTGCATCACTAAGCGCTTTCCGGCTACACCATCGTGCTACCGTGTTAGCAATTGACGGCCGCAGTGTATACGGGTGTCTAATAGCAACGTCAACATGGCACTATACAGAAACGTGATGGTAGCTTTCCACTTTCTTTAGGAATTTTGCCTTGGTACCAAGATCCTTTGCCGCATAGTTCCCCCGACTTGCCACAACGGACGAAAGTAACGCGCTGCAAAAAGCGTGCATGCGACACCACTAAATCAGAGAAGCTGTAAATTATGCAGCTTTTTTTACCATGCGCCACACAATGACCAAGTTTCCCGTGGCACAGGGAAGATGTGATGCCGGCCGCATTAGCGGTATTTGCCTGTATTTTCACGACTCGAACATACACTTCTCCCCTAAAAAATAGGTCTTCATAGATAGCTGCATGTTACAGTTGAAATCGAGAAGCAAAACTGAAATGAAAAATGAAAGAAATACTCGGTGTAAGGTGGTTAGTACAACTGTCATCGTGATCAGATTTATTTATGTTCGCCATTTTGGCATTGGTTTCATACTCTCACACATATTTACTCGTGTCAAAGGGTATTGCTCTTTGCCGATTTTTTTTTTTAGTTATTTCATGTACGCTGAACTTACTTTGGGGCGTTTGATCCTCAACGAGAGACAGGATACCAAGTATACGCTTGCGGCATCATCGTTCAAATTAACCTTTGCACATTTTTATTCGTTTGAATTGCCTGGAGCTTTCTCCCTTTCAGATACATAGTACAGTCGAATCTCGTTAATCAACTTGAGGGGGACCAAACATTTTTTTTTTAATAAAGCAGAGATTGAATTGCTGCGAGTTTCCTCCCATAGAGACGCATAGGGTGGGACCTGCATGTTTGACTGAATTATCTGCAAGTTTGAATTAATGAGATTGAACTGTACAACTCTCCCTTTTCTTGCATGTAATAAAATGCATTATATTTGATCTTAGATGCTGCTGAGGACCTTCCTGGGGGTCCTGCTGAGCATCTTGCTGAGTATCTTGCTGGGGATCCTGCTGTGGATCCTGCTGTGGATCCTGCAGTGGATGCTGCCAACAGTGCTGGACCTGCACCTCTGGATGTAGTAGGTGACCAGGTGAGGCTATTCACATGTTTCATAAATGGTACTGAGCTATATACAAACAGTGTACTTTGGTGTTTTTAGATGAATGTGTGAATAGCATAACCTGTCTGACATATAGAAGAGGGCATCAACAGTTTTTTTTCTTCATAGCCACATGGAGCTGGTCTCAGGTTTGCACTCATCGGACATCTTTATGTACTATCGGAAACAAAAATTCTTGGGACGCGCGAGTGGCAACTAAAGCACATCACTGCGCCACTTGCATGGTTTTGAGACCACGGAGGAGCGCGTGTGCGTCCTTCTATTCTTTCAAGCATGCGTGTTCTTCCGCTCCACTGTGACATCGTGCATACCCTAGAATTTTACGTGAGGGGCCGCTTCGGAAGCCACAGTGATGGGCATCTGCCATGGATGCTGCAACTAGAGCTGGCGCTTGTGGCTTTGAGGCTCATAAAGCCTAGCAGAAATGCTCAACTTTAGAACAAACTAAGCTTAAATTCATTTGTTGCATTTCTTGCTGCATGTTGATGCATGCTATTAGTTTGAAACTGAGTTATCGCGAGCTCTGAACAGCAATACCTCTCCCGGCAAGCCAGCTTATTCACAGTGGCTGTTGGTAGAAGATTAGTGCCCGTTCAGTGATGTCAAGTGCGAACGTTGTGTTCAAGAATAAAGGCGGGAGAGTAAAAACGTGATTGCCTTTCGGAAATTGGAGGGAACATATCCATAGAAGTCTGGGCACTTGATTGCGCTACCTACTAATGCATTCAGAATGTCGTAGACAAAAAGCGAGTTTCATTTCCAAATGTGTTGATTTCATGTTTCTTTTCATATTGCGATTATAGGGCGCACTTTCTGATATATATCTATAGAGCTACAGGTCATAAGCTGTTGACTAAGCGATCCTACGGATGCTGTGATCTCCAGTCGCGGCACCCGTAGCAGAGGCTCTTCACAGCTGCCGCCGAAGCACTGACTCTAAGTAAATTTTCTTCACATAAGATGCGAAGAACACGCATGTCTGCAAGCATGGTAGGATGCACATGCGCTTTTCCGTGTCCCTAACACCAAGCTAACCTCCGGCAGATGGCGCAGCCGTGCGCATTAGTAGGAAAAACTGTGGACATAAATCGTGGGGATATTTGTTTGCGTTAGTAGATAACTTACTACTTGAAATACTGTTCTGGTTACTTGCAGCGTTACCTGGGCCATGGGATATTCGTCCCAGATCACAAATTTATGTCGGCCAAGAAACATGCCCCAACCGACTCGCGGTTTTGTGGGCTTCTACTTCGCCAGTTGTACACAAACGAGGAGATGATAAACAGAAGTGTGACGGGACAACCGTCCCGTCGAAACCTCAAGAAGGGTGCCGAGAAGAGGAAGCCCCTCACTCCTACAAAGGTTGAAGCCGTGAAGGGTGGGTGTTGGTTTTATTTATGCTTGCTTCCTAGGGTCAACATTTCAAGATGAATGATACTATAGGCATAAAGCAGGATGCTCAATTGTTTAGGATGTGCATTAGCGAATTGCAGATTTCGGCGTTTTACCGTGCAGAGGTCGACCTGGTAGTGTAGAATTTGCATACACATTTTTTAGAATTATGGTCTAAATATTGAACTGCTGTTCATTTGCAGGTTTAGGTCGTGCAACTAAAGTGTCCATTCAGTCTAGAGAGCTTAGCTGCAAATAGCTAGGCATTGAATTAAAGCATTTACCACACAAGTATTACTGCAAAGAACCCAGCTGTAGGGTTGCTGTATTTATGTACAAATCAACCCACTGTCAATGATTGTACCGTTCTTATTTGAACCTAGGCCGGCCCCGATTCTAAGCCGACCACAAAAAATCCGAAGCCAGAAAAAAAAAAAAAAAAAAAACTTATCTCGAATGTAGGCCAAATGAAAAGGCGAGGACGGCATTGACAAAAAGATATTTATTGAACATAAAGATACCGTGCTCATTCTGAGTCATCATCGCTGCTAGCCTAGTCGCTGACTTGTTTGTCACTGTCATCTTTAAACAGTGCGCTATCCTCAGTACCATCAAGCGCATTTGATATGCTGCACTTTTTGAAGGAGAGCACGATTAAAGTTCCAGGGATGTCGTCCCACGCTGCAGCTAGCCAGCCCGCCATCCTCGTTGCGGCGCACGCAAATATCCTCTCCCGTTGCCTCTTCCAACGATGGACATTTTTTTCATCCACGCTGAAGTCCCGCCCGGCTTGAACGTTCGATGACAACTTTTCTTTTAAAGGCGGAACTATAATGGCACTGCCTGTTTGGTGCCATTGCGCTGTTGATAAAAGAAAATGCCACGCCGCACACAGGCCACTATCAACGCAGGTCAAAATGGCGGCACTGCCTGTGTACTTAAGTGGCTACTGGCTCGGCTGGTAATGGCTAAAATACTTTCTTTTCTAGGTGGCGCTAGCTGCACGCCACTTTCTTCAATTTTATTTGGAAATTGGTGCGTGTTTCAAAATCCTCGAATCTAAGCCGTCCCTAGAGTTTGATGTATCGGTATTTAAAAAAAACTTTCGGCCTAGATTCAAATAAATACGGTAAATCTGCAATAGTGGTCAAACCCTCTCTGTGATATTTGACTCTTCATGGACCTAAAAGGTTGCAGCTGGGCACACATAACCATATTACACTGCTCATATTTGTCTGTATGACTTCTTTTCCCATTGTTTGTAGGAAACTTTAACAACTTCTAATTGTCTCCAGCTATACATTTCTTGTGCTTTTGCAGTTGGCTTGACCAATTACATCAGAGGAAGAAAAACAGCCGTGGCCGATGGGGACCGCCATAGAGTTATTACAATAAACGCTAGAGGCTCAGCTGGCGCTAGTGTCTATGGGACTTCCGGTTGCAAATTGAAGCAGACAGCATGCAGTCTACTTTTCCAGTCTTCTCGTGTATTCCTATGGGAAAACGCGCGTGAATATTTTCTCGTCGCCGGAAAATAACATTAATAACTTTTGTTATTTCGGTTGTACCGGGTAGTATGTACCTTTATTAATATTGTGAAAGCGTAATTGCTTTAGTTACAGCATTTTTCCTTTACCACTGAACGATGATAAACTTCGCTATATTTCAGGCCCAAACCTCTGTTCCATGGCAGGTATGTAGAAACGAGCGACGATTCTAAGCAAAATAACGATCGAAAGGAATGTAGAGTGTGTTCAAGGTTCGCCAGCATCTCACTATATGAAAATGACCCCGTCGTGCATCTTTACGAGCGGTTAAAAAAAAAACGTTCAAAACGTAAAGAATAAAGTACGTGGGCTACGAAAGGCGTGTTTTCTTATTATTTCCTATGTAGGGCAGTTTTTATCGCGCACCTGTCCTCTGGCTTCCCCCTATTTGCAAAGATTTGGAGCGTGCGGGTGATGATTTGAACACAGAACAAGCATGTTCACATATATTCATGAGCAGAAAGAATAAAGCAGTACTTATTTATTGCAAATCGGACTGTGACTTTCAACTTATTTTGATCGTCTGCAAGCACAAGGAGTTACTTACCCAGTGTTACTGCGTAGTTCTTGCCGTCTCTCTTGGTTTTCCACATGCCGTACGTTCGTTTGGCACGTTTATCCCCCATGCTGGAAAGCGTCGACGCCGTGTTCGCGCTAACAGTGTCCGACAGTGCACATAAATACACGTACGAAGCGGTTTTAACACCGTTTTTAATGCCGAGAATTTTAAATAAAAATGCTGTAACTGACCAATTATTTCGTCCGCGTGTCTGGGAAATGTTCCAATGTGCCTAGTACGTACAAATTATTCGTGATATTTGCTCTTATAATCGAGCGCAGAGAGAAAATGCACTCGCTTTTTCCCATAGAAATGCATTACCGGAAGTCAATTTCTGACTGCTTCCTGTCTGCTTCAATTTGCAACAGCACACTAGCGCCAGCTGAGCCTCTAGCGTTTATTGTAATAACTCTATGGGGACCGCCTGGACAAACTGAAGACTATATTGTCAAACTTTTTTAGTGAAAAAAACAGGCCGGAGAGGGAACCCCGCAAGCCAAAGCCGAAGGCAGGGGCAGAAACTCTGCCGGTGGAGGACCCAGCAGTTTAAATAAACGTCCTGGTTTGATCTTTTTTCCGAAAATGTATATGGCACTTTATTTTCTCAGCGTTTGACTTCTCAGACCCACAGAATGTGTTGTCACACCCAAGACTTTTACACCAACATGGTTATCGGATGTGAAACAAACTGGTTGAATTCAAAATTCATTCCCAGCTAGTTGATTGCCGATTTGAAATGAACCGGTGTATCCCGATCGGCAATGAACCGGGTTCATTTCCCGATTTGGAACTTACCGGTTCGTTTACGGGTTGCAATATATACTGGGTCAGGCATGGTTCAATTCCCAGATTCCATCCCGGTAAGACTCACCGATATGATCCCTGGTTCGATAAACCATATTGAAACCCGATAATAAAACCAGTAAGAAAATTCATATCGGTTTTTTCAGTAGGGTCTCGTCCGCTCCGCCGAGTGGGCTGTAGCTAGCGTCCGGCTGGCGAGCAAACTCAGTTTAAAATCGCGTCATTTTGGAACCTTCAAGCGCAGATGCGCAGATTTTGGTATGCCAGTTGTCGTGTAATATTATGCTAGATAAAAAGACTCACAGGGTCCAATTGCGCTGTTACCTGCGTGCAAATAAAAAAAAAAGAAGGAAAAACTGTGTCAGACTGGCCGGCCTCTTTCGCGAAAAGTAAATCCGGTTGCTGTACCTTTTTTACTATACAAAAGTTCGTACTGGTGTAGGCCTTTAGCGACCATGAGTGGAAGTCTGAAATAATAAATAAAACGTGCTCTCCTGCCGCAATACAAGCAGTAGTTGAGGGTAGTACTGCCGGCTGACTCAACTGCTATTTAAGTAACGGAAAAAATATATGCTAGTTGATCATTAAGCAAAATAGAACAACAGAGAGCTATGGGCTGATTTTGGAGTAGCCACAACTATTCTAAGAACGCGAACCACTTCACAACGGCAGCCACGAGCGAGAGTTCAATGTTCGGTAGAGCCCGCCGATACAGCCCAAAGATTCTAAAACTATTCTAAGAACAGAACCACTTCACAACGGCAGCCACGAGCGAGAGTTCAATGTTCGGTAGAGCCCGCCGATACAGCCCAAAGATTCCAAAAATATTCTAAGAACAGAACCACTTCACAACGGCAGCCACGAGCGAGAGTTCGATGTTCGGTAGTGCCCGCCGATACAGCCCGAAGATGGAGAACGGCAACCTCCCGGTTTGTCGTTTGCTAGCGGAGTCGGGCGCGTGCCCTCTCTCTCGTTTTACCCCGCCGAACCCGCTGAACTTCCCGGATGCGTGGAGAGGGCGCTGCGGTCGAACAAAATGGTGCCGCCCAGAGAGCGCTAAATGGAATGGTGGATTCGCAGAATGAAGAATGGGGCGAAAGTGCCCGTTTGTCGAACTGTTGAAAAGAATTGATTAGGGTTGGGTCTGTAGATTGCCGGTGACAGTGGGGGTCAACAATAAGACCTTTCAAAAAAAAAAAAAAAGAAGAGAGAGGATGACAAATGCAGCTCTAAGAATTGGCAAGGGTTCGATAGTGAATCGTATACCCGGGTTATTCAAAATCATAAAAGTCGGGTTCTTCGTGAATATGTTCACTCGCAACTCTAGCATTATTGAATTTGGGAAGACCGAGCGAGGGGCTGACTTTCTGATACCGTGGTCATATGTGCACTTGTAATGTGCGCATATGAATAAATCACGGTCGCGCTGTTGCAGCGGCTCTGTGACAGAGTTAGAACAAGTTGAAATCCGATCGCTGCCTTTTGACTTTTTGCCCCTGCAGCCTACATCAGTTTCTGATGTGAAATAAAGGATTGATTGATTGATTGATTGATTGAATATGCTACCTGGGCGCGTATCGGTGCGATTGCTGCATGCCACGTGACCAGAAAAGGCAGAAATGACGGAAGCCAATTCTAAAAAGTATTGTATTACTTATTAATATTGCCTACGTGTTGCTTAATACATGGTTCATTGCGACAGCAATCGCTTTGGTGGCCGAAACATGCGAAACTAGTCGTCGCGATAAGCGTCACTGTGCCGAATCCTCCGGACAATCACCGAACAAAAGCTCACCGCTTGAGGACATTACCTGCACAAAGGCTTAATGGAAGGAACGTTGTATTCTATCACTGATTTTAATATGAGGATCGAAATTTTGTTTCTGGGGACCAAGAAGTCCAATCAGAAATGTCTAAAACGTTCACGTTCGTTTTGTAAAAAAAGAAGAAAACAAAAACTACAATTTAGTGTAATTACACATACTACACCGACTTCACATAACAATAATGATAATACTAAAAATTCAATCAGGCGGTTTTTTCCCATACGAGGGACATCATCTTTGCGGGACTAGGGTCATGAATAAGAAAAATACAGCAACTCGTACAATACAGAAAAAACTGTGGTTGAGGATAAGGGACCATGAAATGATTTTAAAATCGAATTTCATCCACCGCACGTCGTAAAAGGTGTGAAAAGAAACACAAAAACACAAAAATAGGGAGCCAAAAAAAATTATTTGCTATAGAACTTTTAAAAGAAAACTGGACTCTTTTGCGCCTTCTTTCCTTCGCCTTTTCACTACGATGCATCCGCGGAAACGGGGCACGTCAGCCGAATCCACGTCGCCTATTGGGTAAGAGCCTACCTCACCAGCACCGCGATCGTAAACAATAAATAGCCGGCGAATGTTTCCTAAAAGTTTTGTTAAATAATATTCAGATCCACATTTTGTAGCATAATTAGAGATGTGTGGCGAAAATTGGCAAATTTGATAATGCTGAGAGCCAAACGCCATCTATCGTGTGGTAAACGAAGCAACTACTGCGCGTGCGCAGTAGGGCAGGGCCGAGTTCAGTTACTTGGTTCGCGACGGCCGTAGAACGTTTGTTTTCTTTGATTTCCTTCCTCTCAAAACTCTGACTGACTGAACGTTTATTTTTCTACGTGTTCTTCTCGCGCGTGCCGACTTCAAGCAGCAAGAAAAAAGTACCTAAAACAGACCACGACGAACAAGAACGCTGGCCACGAATCCACCGACTCTGACGAAGCGAGCTGCTCAGAATATAGGCCTAGCAGGCACTCCGACTCGGCGCAGCGTTGCTTCGTCGCAAGACCGTCTGCCTACGACCGGCTGGCGTGCTGAATGGAATATGCCCGCGCTACCCTTGTGGACCCTTCCCGCATTATAGTTTGATTGCTGACCTCAATTTTAGATTAAGAGGTGAGTTCAATCTCTTCCCCTTGTTTTCCGAGGCAGTGTTGACGAACACTCGTTGAAAAGGGACTCTTGTCGATTCTATCTTCTTGTTTTGTGTGATATAGAGCTGAAATAAACGCCGTACGGATTACCTTCGTAACACGGTATGTACACTTTGTTATTGGTATGACATTTTTATTCTGACAGATTGCACGTCACTGTCGAGCTATAACAGTTCGTGGGAGGTATACACGCAATGCTGGTCCAACCTTTCTTTGCCGAGTGTCGCGTCAGTATCGAGTTGCAATCGTAAAAGATTGGTCCCGAAGCGCTTACCAACAGCGCGAATACAGCACTTCCATCAAACGCTCGCGTCCGCTCCGAGTGTGAACAGGTATTTACGTGACTCTTGCTGACACTCGTAGTTCAAACGTATCTTTTTTAACGTCGGCTCGGCCCTGCATCTCCGAGGCCGCGAAAAACGCCGCGGCAATTTGTTTCCATCTATGTCGCTTTGCAAACGACTGACGCGGGCCGCCTTTTACCAACAATGACAGTTGGGTTGACTTCTGGAGTCTTCACCGGAAGACTCGCTGCACTTCCCAACAGGCATACCGGCGTATGGGACTAGTCACATGCTGTCGCTGTAGCGCAACATATCTCATTGAATTTCGCTCAGCTGCGATGCGGCGATGAGAGGCGCCGATTCAGAAAATACGTCGGTGACATCAGCGCAGTAAAACCTACCGGCGCACCCCAACTCGTCGCCGCTAACGCTCCCATTCTCCTACTGCCGAGAGAACTTCCGGTTCCGGAAACAGCGTACGTCACGGCTTGTTTTGCGGTCAGTTGGAGAGAAAGAAAAAGTCGAAATTTCATTAATTTTTTGTGTAGAAGTTAATAAACCGAGACGAAAACGGATGCCTGTTCGGCATTCAGTGAACATTGACGATTTAATGTAAAAGTTATCTGGAAAAAGTAAAAAGGTCATTTCATGGTCCCTTTAATGATCCTAAAAACTCTCGTGGGTCCCACATTTGTTTCCGCTCCAGAGGAATGACCCTTCTAAAATCAAACGCGTGACAGATTGTCAATGGTCAACGAGTTCGGTCTTTTATCTTGTAGCATGTGTGACCTTTTAAACGTTGTTTTTTTTAATTATAGAAATCATTTTTATATTAATATATAGAAAACGAACAATAAATACATTGTTTTGGGGGTTTTCTGAAGTGTACAAAATACACGAGCGTAATTTTAATTTCACTTTGGGGCCGTCACAGAGGCAACGTCAGAGGGACAAGCTCAGCGGCACACCAAAACAGCCGTGCATCAAAAATCCCGGTACTGAAAAGCCCCGCGCTGAAACCGACCACATACCGAAATAATTGCGAACCGATATCTTCGCACCGAAATGTCCGGTTCCCCATTTCATCGAACGCATTTTTCACCGCCGTAACTATCAGTAATCCTACAGTTCAACAAAGAAATGTCTTCTAAATTCTTTGCAAGGTTCATTCCATATCCGTTGGATATTCAGACTCGTTGGACATTCAGGCTCGTTGGACATTCCGTCTCGGTTGGATCTTTCGTCTCGTTGGACATTCAGGCACGTTGGACATTCCGTCTCGATTGGACCTTTCGTCTCGTTGGACATTCAGACTCGATGGACATTCAGTCTCGATTGGATCTTTCGTCTCGTTGTACATTCCGTCTCGCCTGTCACGTGACCGATTGGACATTCAGGCTCGTTGGACATCCAGTTCTGTTGGACATTCAGGCCATAAGCGAGAGAGAACCTTGCCTGCTAGCGCCACAAAAGAGCGAG